TCCATTAAAAAAAAAAAAAAAAAAAAAAAAATAGCTGGACATGGTGGTGCACGCCTGTAATCCTAGCTACTCGGGAAGCTGAGGTGGGAGAATCGCTTGAACCCGGGAGACCGAGGTTGCAGTGAGCCGACATCGCGCCACTGAACTCCAGCCTGAGCAACAGACCAAGACGTCATCTCAAAAAAGAAATAAAGGACAAGAGGAGGGTCTCGGAGGCTCCCGGCTCAGATCCTCCCCCTCTGGCTGCTCCTTCAAGGAGCTCCACAAGAAAACCCCAGGCACCTGGCCAACAGGGACCTCACGCCCCGCTGGCCCCCAGAGCAGACTGGAGAAGAGGGATCCCCCCACGCTCAGCCTGTCTCTTTCTCTCCATCCTTCCACCTGCAAGTGATGGGCCAACCACGATGACCCATCGTTGATTCATTCAGCAAATACAGACTGAAAACCTGCTTTGTGCCAGGCACCGTGTAGGCTCTAAGGAGTCAGAGATGAAATGCGCAGAGCCCCTGCTCTCAGACTTCCATTCACACAGCCATGCATTCACTCACTCAACAGCGAGCCCCCACCATCGCCAAGGTCCTGAGAAAAATGCGAAAGGACCCAAGGCATGAATGCAAACTCCTAGAATGTCAAGGCTGGAAGAGAGCAGGCTGGACGCTAATCCACCCCTCCCATTTTACAGACGGGGACACTGACCCAGAGAGGCTAACGATTTGCCCATGTGTTAGCCGGGGGCGATATCCCACACACAAGCCTCCTTCTCCTGCACGGTACTGTTGCCACCTCCCCTCCAGTGTTCCGGCGTGGCTCCATAGCCCCTGTACCCCTGCACTGCAGGTACAAAGCAAATCTTTGCTTCTGAGTGTCCAACTCACCCAGGCACCACAGACCCCATTCAATCCAGGCCTCCAGCAAGGGGATGGGCCCCAGCAAACCAGAGGCCTTCTCACCCACGGTGTTGTGGAGGCGGAGGTGCATTGTGCGGCCGCGGATTCTATATACACAGCTCTCGAGAACATCAGGGAAAGAAAATGGGAAAGTAGGGCGGGAGGCAGGTGTGAGAACCACTCAGCTCCGCCCACAAAGCACAGACCCAGATTCAAATCCCAACTCCGTGACTTCCTCCCTGAAGACCTTGAACGAGTTTCCTAAACTCTCTGGGTCTCCACTTTCTCCTCTGTAAAATGCAGATAGGAATGGTATCTGCTTCATGAGGTGGGTGCAAAGCCTCAGGAAAACAGTGCAATGAAGCCTTAGCACACAGTCAATGCTTCATAATGGTGAGGCCAGACCCCCGTCGTCAGAGCTGCATGCCTCAGGGACGCCTGGGGAGGTATCAAGGACACCAGGTCCTTGGAGAGGGAGCCAAGGCAACCAGGAAGCATGGGCTGCAGCCCAGGAGTATCTGCTACGTAGCGGGGAATGCAGTGAGCTGCTTTAGAAGGAGAGATGCCTCACCCAGCAGAGGCAGACAGAGGAGGCATCTTGGTGACTCAGGAACCCCAACGGTGGGCATTTGGCTGCCTCATCAATTGGCCATAAATGCAAGGGCTTATTTCTGAACTCTGAATTCTACTGGATCCATCTGTCTGTCCATCTTTATGTCCACACCACACTGTCTTAATAACCATAGCTTTGCAATACTTTTGTTTTTTGTTTTGTTTTGTTTTGTTTTGTTTTGAGACAGAGTCTCGCTCTGTCACCCAGGCTGCAGTGTAATAGTGTGATCTCAGCTCACGGCAACCTCCACCTCCTGGGTTCAAGTGATTCTCCTGCCTCAGCCTCCCAAGTAGCTGGGACTACAGGCGCCCACCACCACGCCTGGCTAATTTTTGCATTTTCAGTAAGACGGGATTTCACCATGTTGGTCAGGCTGGTTGGAAACTCCTGACCTCAAATGATCCGCCCGCCTTGGCCTCCAAAAGTGCTGGGATTACAGGTGTGGGGCACTGCGCCCGGCCGCAATATGTTTTGAAATCAGGAAGAATGAGTCCACCAACTCTCTTCTTCTTTTTCAAGATTATCGTTGAACGTCTATGTGAATCTCAGGATCAGCTTATCAGTGTCTGCAAAGAAGCTCGCTGGGATTTTCATGGCAGTGGGTTTCCAGTTCCTGGTTCAACCACTCCGGAGCTCTGGCTTTGCTTCCTCCCCTTCAGTTCCCTGGGGCACCCTGGTTTCTTTCCCATAAATTCCATCTTTTGTTTAACCAGATGACGCTGGGTTTTTGTTTCTTGCAATCAAAGGAATCTTAACCAATAAAACTCGGAACACAGTGCCACGCACTGTCCCAAGCCATCATCCCAATATCACCTTCCCAGATAATCACTCAGAGACCCCACTGGAGTCCCAATCTCAACCCTGACCCACGCCCCCCAGCTTTTCACTCTACCCTGTGACTGGTGCACTTCCAGGTTACAAATATTATATTTACAAACAGGCCCTCCCTCAATAAATGATTGTGAAATTGAACTAGATGTCCCAAAACAGCACCAAAAGAACACTCTTACCATTCTACACCCCTTAGTAGCTCTGCTTCATGCCTGGCATCTCACTTAGTATACAAATGTGCTCTAGAAAACTCTAGGAAAACCAGACATTACTGTGCCCACTGGACAGAAGATATGGAAACTAAAGCCCAGAGAAGGGAAGCATCTTGCCCTGGGTGACTCGCCCTGACAGCTCCAGACTGAATGGTGTCTGCACTGATGCACACACCATGCCAAGCCAGCACAGGCATGGGGATCCCACTATCCTGCCTCATCTCTAAGAGCTACTTTAGAGGCCACCTCCCCCAGGCAGTCTTTCAGGACTAACTCCATGACACTCCTGGCGTCTGCTCTAGACCTTTTTTTTTTTTTTTTTGAGACGGCGTTTCACTCTTGTCTCCCAGGCTGTGGCATGATCTTGGCTCACTACAACCTCCACCTCCCAGGTTCAAGCGATTCTCCTGCCTCAGTCTCCCGAGTAGCTGGGATTACAGGCGCCCGCCACCACACCCAGCTAATTTTTTCTATTTTTAGTAGAGATAGGGTTTCACCATGTTGGCCAGGCTGGTCCCGAACTCCTGACCCCAGGCGATCCACCCGCTTCAGCCTCCCAAAGTGCTGAGATTACAGGCGTGAACCACCGTGTCTGACCTTCCTGGCATCAGCTCAACAGAGAAAGCGAAAGCCCTTGAAGGGCAGGAACAGTCTGTCCTCCATCCCGGCTTTGCTCACTGCCCAGCCTCATCTTTCTGAGCAAAACCAAACAAAGTGGGAATCCTCTTATTTTGACCCTCTTCTATGCCAACCCTCAAGACTGGCCATACTTTGCCCAGGGACCTGCATCCAGGGGATGGACAACCAGTGCCGGCAACTGAATGACATGACAGAGGGAGACCGGGCAGGAAAAACCTTCCGTCAAGACGGGGGAGTGACAACCCAGAGGAGCTGCCTCGGAAGGAGGGCAACTCATTGGAGGAATTTTCCATGCAACAGCGAATTCCCATGTGCCGGGAGAATATTCTGAGCTAGAGCCCAATGCTTTTACCCTCCTAGAATTTCCCTCCTTTTCAATTCACTCCGCTGGAGCAGATGGTGAGTCAGGACTCACTGCCCCACGGGAGGGGTGCAGCTGGAAGAAGGCTACGCTTTGGTTAAGTCTCAAAGGAAAAAGGGGATCAGGATGCAGACAAAATGGTCTGGCCAGAAACACAGAGGAAAAAGGAATGAAGGTGGTGAGGGAGGAGAGGTCAGAGGTTCTAGGAGAGGGTTGTGCCTGCTTAGGATCTCAGCAGACGAACCAAGAGACACATAGTAAATCGAGGCAGGCAATTCCCAGACCCTGAATCTGGCTTGGAAGCCTCAGAAAGCCCCAGGGCCAGGCTGCCCAGGCTGACATACCTGGCAACAAATGACTTGATGAGCAGCTGACATCACACACACACACACACACACATAGTCAGGTCCTAGTAGGTGGGGAATGTCAGAAAGTCACTGACAGGATTGGGACTTCACATAAAAATTAAAGTGACAAAAAACATAATTATCTTTTTTTTTTTTTTTTT